TAATGGTTTATGCTTACAGTCTTTTCCCGGTCAAAGCGCAACTCATATGTGTTCTCCGCGTCGTCTCCATGTAGTGAACTGTCTTCTTCGGACTGGCTTTTCTGCAGTGGTGTGATAGAACAATGTGGTACGGGCATCGATATATGTACTCTCCATTTTAAGTTACCTCCAAAGCATAATTGAAATATATTACGACCATGCACAAGTGCAATGATATGAATTCAACAACTTCAATAACTGTACAGATGCACACGTACGTCGTCAGCGCTCTCGGTCTTAGCCGGTTTCCATTGACTCTTGCCCTTCGTCTCGGTACCAACCGCATTGTTATCTTCTGCATACATGTTACCATGGTGATTGCGATTCTGAAGTGCAAGCCCAGACTCTTCCGATTTTTTCTCATCGTCCGATCCCAAAGGATTGTCTTTCTTATCCTTATCGCCGTGAACTGGTTGTATATCTGTGCTCTCTGCACTCGCCTCGTGCGGCTGTTTGCGGTGCGCTTCTGGAGACACCGATTCTATGTCGGGGTAGTTGGTCGCTTCTGCCATCGTGGTTGTTTGGTATAGTTTCCACCACAGGTATAGGTTCTATCTCAGTCGTATGTTTGTAGCCTCCTGATATCCGTATGTAATCTTTGTGCCCGCCGAAGTTGTTATACCCGACTACGACCCGTGGACCGATGACAGCAGACACGAATATGTAGTCGAAATTCGAATACAGGCACTCATGACTTGATGTAATCACAGAGTAATTTGGTTAAAAAAAGCCGCCCCATTTCATATCGCTAAAATGCTAAATAATGCCATATGATTCGCTGCCTCCCAGTCGCTATTTTAAATAAGTGGTCGGCTCGTTGCTGCCTCGCAGCTTCGCTGACTATGTAAATAGTCTTGTGAAGTTGTAAATATCTGTTCACTGTTCAGCACTTCAGTGTGCTACATATTTAATATTATAATTTTAATCAGCTACAAATTGTAGTGGTGTATCTATTTTGTGACCCTGCGCTGCTGTTGCATAAGTTATGTACACTTTATATGCATACGTGTTTTAATCAGCTACAAATTGTAGTGGTGTATCTATTTTGTGGCCCTGCGCTGCGCTACAGTATATAGTCAAAGTGTTAGTAGAGAAATACTACACTCAGCCTCTCTCTTTTTATAGTGAGAAAGCCTGGGTGGTTTGCTGATCTGGTTTTGACTTTCATTTTAAGCTTTTGTCCACTCTTTGAACCTTGTTCTTTCTACAATAAACGAGATGGTTTTTTTCGCTTCTCAATTAAGATTATAGTTATAGTTATAGGTAATTTATAAGAGTGGAGCGAGTCATTCGAAACTCCTTGGTTGTTGAGTAGTGCTTTTGAAAGTTGATACTATCCATTTCAATACAAGAGGAGTCTTGTTGATAAATAGTAACAGGCGTTGTATATCAATCTCGATAATTAGCATGATCCATGAGTTCATAACTCAACAATCCAACCTTGTTCTTCCTACGGCAAACGAGATCACATACTTCGCTTGTTGCTATGATTATAATTGTGAGCGACCCATTTAAAGCTTCTTGGCTGTTTTGAAATGTTTTTCAAAATTAATACTATCAAGTACCATACAAGGAGGAGCTATTAAACAGAAAACATACGGGCACCTAAACGATTATTCGTCAGGATAATATTACTTTTGACTCTTGTTTCAACAGGGAGGCATGAATAGTGGTAGACAGTATCAATGTAAATAGAGACGTAAGTTTGAATCTACTTTATTGTCAAGTATAGTATTCATTTAAAAAAAACAAAATATGGAATATCTTTAATATGTGTGCTCTTTTTGCAAAACTGTCTTATATACAAAAGGTGTCGAATAATATGTTTCAACCTCTATATCTCCTCCTCGCTGCTTCGAACGATGCTTTATCTTGAAAAGCAACCGGACCGACAACTGTGCCGTCATCATACAAGGGATTGAAGGCGGTGAGTGTAGTGTCTACTCCTACGACGTGAAGAAACATTACGATACTGATGCTATCCACAGCCCCATCCACCAGATTTAGATGGTCAAACATTCCATTAAGGTTGGCCTCTCCGTTCTCCTTTATCTCGGCAACAGCCACGCCGGAATATACTAACACAGAATCGGTGTCCTCGACATAGAAGGCACGATACCTACACCTAGTGGCATCGAATGATTCAATTTCAGCAGCGGTCATAGTAGTGTCGGGAACGTTACTGCGGTATCGCCTTCGGCGTGCAAGCCACTCATCCCAGTTAGTATCGGGAACTCCAGTCCCATCGAATCCAGCCGCAGTTTCCAAGTCGACAAACAAGATCTTATCCTCCGTGAAATCTTCCAACTTCGTCTTCTCGACCTCGGCGTCTGCAAATACGAATCGATTTTGTGTTGTGGGGTGCGTAACTCCTTCAAGAAAGGTGGTACCCATCAACATGATACGCCTCACTTGTCGAGCACTTAGATTCTTTTCCTGCGACCACAAGCTCGCAGCTACACCTGCCACTATGGATGCAGCCATACTAGTGCCAGAGTAAACTTGAGTGCCGCCACCAGATGCGAGAGATACGATATCAGAACCGGGGGCCAAGATGTCGACACAAGGTCCAACATTCGTGAATGGTGCGAGAAGATCGCTGGCATCAGTGGCGGCTACCGTGAGTGCTGCAGGGTTGCGCCCCGGCGTCACAGAGCAGGAATCACCTGCATCGTTGCCTGCAGCTACCACAACTAGTACATTGGCGAGATATAGCTCAACAATTAGAGCATCAATCACGTTTGAGGGAGGGCCGGATAGAGACATGACTACAATGTTTTTCTTCTTAGCACCCTTCTTTGAAACCTTATACTTCAGGACTTCGTTGAGTACTCTATTCAGCCCTGAAATGATTGTTAGCGTAGTACCAAATCCTGACTTGTCTAGCACTTTGACACTTTGGATTTGAGCATTGGTGGCTGGTCCATAATCCTGAGCGGCGACCAACCCTGCAACGTGGGTTCCATGACCAAGAAAATCCTCGGGACCTTCGTCAGGAAAATCATTGTAAAAATGGTTTGCGCCTTTCAGACTTTTGTGTTTGATGTCCACCCCTGTGTCGACTATATACACGTTTACATCCTTACCAATTTTTTTACCCGCTTCCAACTGTTCATCGCTGTCCAAAACTGAACTACGTTGGTTTATTCTGTCCATATGCCATGAACTTATGCCATTGACATTCCGTCGAGTCTCGTGCGGTCGTGCTATTTGGTAAAGTTGTACATATTCGACTACATTAACATCTTCATCTTCCAATATATTATCTAAAACATCTGGATCCGTGTTTATCGCTAACACGGACTCAAAGCCGCCAGATACTTCTCCCTCCAATTTCTCATCAAATTTATCTCCATGCACGATCTTCATTCGGGATTTAAATGATTCTGGTTCTTTGCCTCGATCTAGACGAACTATGACACCCAATCCCATATCAGTGCCGCCTTCGATAATGGATTTACCTTTCTTTGCTGAAACATCACTTACTAAAGATAAAGCAGCCACTATGGCAGTTGTTACTATAGTTGAATACATCATAATCTACGGTTCTCGATTCGACCGCAGAAAATTATTCAATATTTAAACTAAACCACTCGTTATGCCGCAGAATGAAAATTTCTGTAAATTAAATTCAGACCCAGTGTGCGAATGTGTATCTGTCAACAGCTGTTCGAATATCTTTATACACCAAAAAGAAAATACGCATCGATCTGTAGAAAGTGTATTTAAATAATTTAAAACAAAAGAATTTTGTGGGGGTTTTAATTTTAACAAAAATAGAACGAATGATATTTGGATTTTATACTCTGATAATTTCGGAATTTGAAATATATATAAATATTGATTTCTAAAAATTAGTGTATGTTTTTGTTTGGTAAAAGTAAATTATGTAGAACAAGCAAATTTTAAAAACAGTCCCCTTTTTTTAAATATAAAAAGGGGTCATACTCATAGAGTCATAGACCATAGCTTTCTGAGTAATTGAGAAGGCTATGCATATACAAATAATGTTATTCGTGTGTTTTAAATAGACGTTAGTAAATACAGTAATTCCTCGGTTGTGGGTAGAGTCGCTCTTTTCTTTTCTTTTTATAAATTAGTAAAGCAATTACAAACAATGTTATTCGTGTGTTTTAACTATGTTTGAACTGTGTTTACTGTTTGTACTTTGTAAATTGTAGGCAGACAACTTGGTTACGGACTCACGGAGTGACTTTCATTTTTGTGAAACACCCCCTTCCCACCAGAGATCACTGAAGTCTGAAGAGGTCGTTGTCTAAATTTAAACGAAGGATATGACTTTTTGAGTTTGGGGCTTGAGGCCTTGGGCCATTCACTGGTTTTTGGGAGTGGATAAAAATTAAAACCTTGCAGTGCTTGCACATGTCCCTTGTTGCAGTTTTGCACAGAAAAATTCCTGTCCACTTTTAAAAACCGCCGGCGAGTAGCTTTGTATCTTCTACTATCCCTTTTTTTTTTAAATGCATTCATTATGATGCATACACATTTTTTTTAAATACACAGGCCCAGGGCGCCCCTGGCCCCAGCCCCCAGCCCCCAGCCCCCAGGCCCCAGGCCCAAGGTCACAGGCAGGTATTGAGCTAACACAGCCCACACCTCACAGCCACATGTCACCTTGGCACATCACTCGTCAAGTGCATGCGTCGTGACGATTGAAGATGGATGCAAAAGTTTTTAAAGTACAGAGGTGACTTAAGAGTTCGGAATTCAGACTGACAGACTGTGTACGGCATGGGTTGTGAGTGGGCGCTCCTCATGGAGTGTGTGAGAGAGAGAGAGAGATAGACTGAGAGAGACTTCTGAAGTTCTTCTGAGTTCTATAAGTTCTGCTACTGTATTTAACTCTAACTAAGTATGTAAATATTTAAAATAAAAATACAGACTGAGTTTCCATTCTGTAGTACTGTACGTACTGAGTATGCACTGACTACTGAGTGTAAATTTTTTTTTAAATATTCTAATGTGTTGCATTGAGAAGTCTACACATTTTTTTAACGGCTCAAGCACTATTGACTATAAAAATCGAGCCGTTGCCGACTTCAAGTCCAAGACTCCAAGACAGTACAGTAAGAGACCCTCTAGTCTAAGGGTTGGCAGTCGCTCGTTGCAGCTTTCTGCCTTTTTTAATAAAAAAACAAATTCTTCCAGTTCATAGCCTACTAAATAAAACATTGATAAATAAAACTGAAAAAAGCATTTTGTTTTTCTATAAAAAAACATATAACTAAATACAAATTTAGACGGCTATGTTTTGTGTTTTTGAAAACAACACCGTGCTATGTAAATATTTAGTGGATTCTGTGTCCTACGGACTTTAGTCCGTCGTGGTATGTTTTTAATCTCTATTAGAGGGTCATGATTCTGTTCAGGTTTGAGATATAGGCGCTCTCCGCGAACGGACCGCATACAATTACAGGCCATATATAGCCTTCTAAATAAACAGCCGTAGGTCGAATACAGGATTGATAAATCATCGGCCCTGTAGAAGTCCTGATAGTAAATTATAGAGCACCAAGAATATGGACAGCGGCGCAGCTTTATAGTTGTTTTTGAAAACATGGACTATCATATACAAATATGTAAATACAGGCATCAGTACGCCTGTTAACTTTGTTACTACCGATGAACTCTTTCGACGAATCGGCAGTTCCAGGATATATACTAAAACTTAAACCTTACTATCGCTGATGATCGTTCAAGTATAGCAAGTAGTCGTCATACTGCGCTTCAGGGATATTCTCTTTGGGCTTGAATATAGCAAAGGTTTCCGCAGCGACGACTTCCTCAACCTGCACGTATTTTAAAGTACCGTCCAGTCAGTCCAACAAAAAATTGATCATACAGCACTCAAAACGACACATCACAAATGCAGCATCACCAAAATACGGCTTGTATACTCGAAAAATTTGAATACATCGTATACATGAAGTAGAACCACGTTTAATAATCTATCATACGGACATTAAGATCCAACAAGATCCAGCATGATCCAGTTATTCCGGATATCTAAACATTCAAATAGACCTTAATGCCACATCTAATCTGACCAAATTTGAAACATTTATCCAACTTAGAGCTTGCAAAACAAAACTAGGAACTTCGATAAATCTACGGAAGAACCCTCGGAACTAAATATGGCTTATAAAAAAAACTCACTAAAGTGCTGTACTTCAGATCAGGGCAATAATCAGCCGTAATTATCACATTCTTAGACGGACTATATCGACTAGTAGACGTCCCACGCGATAAACTAGCTACTGAATGTCCGTAGCTATGCATCCTGTGCACTTTCGGCTAAGCAGTCCGTGTGAAGAATCTGTGACATCAGCATGATCACACCACATACTATCCGATAAAGCGACTCGTGTCATTCAATGTTGTCAGCAGGCGCACGGGCCTTTCGAACACAATCCCAACTGAAGTGCGAATATTTAGGTCCATGTACTCACATACCTTGTCGTAGTACTGCTCAATATTATGGTAGTGTTGACGTTCATAGTCGTGAATCGCCAACACACCAGTGCCTGGGCGGATGTACGGCAGCGCCTTGATGGCACATGCCACGCGGAAACGTCCATCCACCAAGACCACATCGTAGAACTCACTGGGCAAGTAGTCAATGATGTTGACATACTTGTGGTAGTTGTAGTATCCAGTGTGCTTTTTCTGTTGGGTAAAACATTTGAAATATGAGAGTGGTATATAATTGGGGTGTATTGAATCTGACCGAGTTTTTCACACTTTCTTGTCGTTTTGAATCGCGGAGAAGATTATCTCAAAGAAGGCTACAACAGTGTGACATTTATAATAAACTATACTCACACTAAATATATTTACAGAGAGTTCAGGCAGATGCAAAACGCACAGAGAAAATCATTCGGTTTGTGCAACAATTAGAAGGCAAATATTTCCTTACTACAATCAACTTAACTCCAGAACATCCCTACGCAAGACTGGAAATCCAACATATGCGCTTACCTGAGGTGTTCCAAAGTACCCCACTTCCGCATTTCTGGTTGTGCAGATGAAGTCCAGCTGTCCATTAGACTGGCCGCATTGTACGTGTTTATTCTTCATCATTTGGTCGCACCAATCAGGGTTGTTCTCGATCGAGGTCATGTGTTTGACCTGAAGTTGTGGTGTGAACCAATCCAAGTTAGAAGTGTGCCCCACCGATAGTGCACACGTTTCAGAACTATTCCCATGGGTCCTACGAGCCTATTGGGCGGATGGCTTTGATTTAAACATGTGGCTCTGCATTAAGAGAAGTACTTGTGCCTGACATATGGAAATATAGAACCCGGTAGTATACTTTAAAGCAATTCCTGTCAGCGGTGCTCGATGTATATGAATGGCAAACATTTCCGAGATATACACTCCTTGTACACTCTTATCACTGGCGTGCAGGGAACAAACCTTCTATCATGCGGCACTCGATGTCATATTGAGGTTGTACACTGTGACAGACAATCTCTAGCAAAGGTCTTACACTCCCCATTCGACCCGTCAGCATTGCACCACTGCATCATTAATTCACACCAACTAGTCTCGTACAATACTGCTGTAGCCGTCAAGTAGAATATTGCGAAGTGAACATGAATGCAAAAATCTACCAACCGGTAAACTTGATGTCGCACTGACCTTGTCGTAGAACTGCTGTGTGCTTCCCCCTGTGCCCCACTCTAAGTAATTGGTATCCTCGTTGACGTATTTCTGTTCAGCAATGAAGTGCCATGCGTGAGTTTGATATGCACCACTAACAATCGTTTCCACCTACGAGAGTAGTCTTTCTGTATTCAAGATAGGCTTCTTAGAAAGAACAAAGGGAACAGCTATCGCTGAATTTGCCGAGCAAAGATCATACCAGAATCATTGCAGTCACCTTTTAGATGTTAGCATTTACGCCAACCATGGTGACATTTATCTATTCTCTAGTCAACCCAAAGAATACAGAATTTCTTTTCACAAACATGACAAACCCAAATGCACATGCAGACCTTAGATTAAACAAACCTTGAATAAAGATTGAATTCGCGCGTCCATCATAAACGGCATACGATCCGGACTTGTCTCAGCTTGTTCGCAAATATCTACCGGATACTGCAACGCACCACCTTGAAACATGCTGTTGGTTTTAAGTAGACCTCCATGGTAGCCCTCGAACTCCGGTCGAATACAACCATTCCTGTTACATATCTGGTCTGTTTGCGCTGCTTGCTGCATTTGTACTTTATTTTGTGGTGTTTCCTCCGACGTGTCGTCTGCGAGACGAAATGTGTGCGTGAGCCGATTAGTACGGGCCATATACATATCATATGAGATTAAAAGACAGAGTATGAGTTCGAAACCGTCGGTAATTTAAGTCTTCTATGAGCCGCTGAATACAAAACATAAATAATTCACTGAGACTGTTAGTTGTGCACAGTATAC